CTACATTGTTTACAAATAATCGACTAAAACAAGCTTATATTTTGGGTTATGATGGGGTACGACAGTTGAACTAACCTCATGAAGCATTTATAAATTACATTTTTCAAGAATCAATAGGTATATATAATGAATTGAAAAGTCCAAAAATGGATGTACCAACAGCAGATTGCCCCTTTAATCACTACATTAAAACTCCATCCCCTGCTCTCTACTCTCCAACACTGGAATGCACCATTTTAGCAGGAGAATGATCCTCCTCCCCACTGTTCTCCTCTGGAGTGGGAAACCCCCCCCCCCCCAGTGCCTAGGAACAAAAATCTCTATCAAAGACAGGCGATGAGAGGAATTCAGAACAGTCTTTACTCTCTCCACACACGCACGCACGCACGCACACACACACGCACGCACGCACACACACACTACGTCTGAATCGGTGCCACAGCCAGTGTTAAAACAAATTCCAACAGGGCTTAGTTAGCGATGACACCGAGAGGGACAATGACAGCCAATCACCACCGCCCTGCGTTTCTGTCCTAGATCTCCTATGCATGCTGAATATTCCTGAATAGGCCAGTCTGCCATCCGGGCACCTAAGACCCATAGAGATGCCACCGGTGTGGGCGGCTGGCTCTATTTTTACCCACCATGCCCTGCAAATGGAGCCAAAATGGCCCCTCAGTAGGCATTGCTCCAACAAGTAAGTAGGAGGCTGCAGTGCTACTGCCTACCAGGGCCGCCACCATGAATAAATGATATGCATATATATTTTTGCAGGGCTTCTATGAATTACTCACTAGAGGCAGATCTATGAATAAAGCCCTGGCCAACCCTGATGAAATATTCAGGGTAGTTAGGGGTTGTGGAGATAAAATCAGCAGGGTGGGTCCCACTTAAAGGTACAATCTGCAATATTTACCTTTATTTTATTATTGCCATTTGTCTGGAAGTAGGGGTTGGGGATTATGGCTTTAAAGGCTGCCTCAGAGGTGTGAGGAGAGCACCAGAACACTGCACAAACGTTTATAGCGCTCTATCTCTCTCTCTCTCTATCTCTCTCTCCCTTCCCTCTCAATTTCTCTCTCTAGCTCTCGCTCTCTCTCTCTCTCCACTCTCTATCTCTCTCTCTCTCTCCCCCCTTCTCTCTCTCTATCTCCCCGCCCTCTCTATTTCTCTCTCTATATCTCTCTCTGTCTCGCTCCCTTCTCTATCTCTCTCTCTCCCCCTGTGTTTCTCTCTCTCGCTCTCTCACTCCCCTCTCTCTCTGTCTCTCCCCTCTCTATCTCTCTCCCCGCCCTCTCTCTATCACTCTCTCCATCTATCTCTATCTCTCTCTCTATCTCTGTCTCTCCCTCCCTCTCTCTATATATATCCATCCCTCCCTCCCTCGATATATCTCTCCCCCTCTATATACAATATATCCCTCTATCTCTCTCTCTCTCTCCCTCCATCTTTCTCCCTCCCTCTCTCTCTCTTCCCAGGGTTCTGTGTGTTTGCATGCAGTCTGTGGGTATCTGCTGACACCTGGTAAACACAGGGATGAATCCCAAATGGCACCCTATTTCTTATATAAAAGTAGTGCACTATTTAGGGAATAGGGTGTAATTTGGGACACAGCCCCAGCCAGCCCCAGACAACCCTGAATCTCATTTTAAAGAGCTGGGTCTTCGCTTTTCAAGGATACCTCCACCCTCTCTCTCTCTCTCGCTCTCTCTCTCTCTCTCCTCCTCTCTCTTTTTCTTCTGTCTTTCTTGGGTCAGCGGTCAGAGCAGTGATTTTTCCTCCTACCCTCCTGCACCATCTCTCTGTTTGTCTTTCACTCTATCAGTCTTATCTTAACCTTATCTTTCCCCTCACTAACTATGTCCCTATCTCCCCCTTTCACCCTTTCACCCTTTCTGTCCCACGTCTCCCCTTTTCTTTATCAATCTATATCTCTCACTCCCTCTCATCCCGTTTTGGGCCTGTAGCACACACACACACACACACACACACACACACACTGCCCTCAGAGTGGTGGGTGTCTCTGGCAGGCAGAATGGTTCCCAGGGGGACAGGGGAAGTGGGCACTGATGGCAGGCAGGGAGGGCAGGGGGCACTTGGTTGTAAGTGTGTGTGTGTGTGGAACAGGCTCTGACTGGGTCAGACTGGGACGAGAGGGAGTGTGTGTGTGCGTGTGTGTGTGTGTGTGTGTGTGTGTGTGTGTGTGTGTGTGTGTGTGTGTGTGTGTGTGTGTGTGTGTGTGGTGTGTGTGTGTGTGTGTGTGTGTGTGTGTGTGTGTGTGTGTGTGTGTGTGTGTGGAACAGGCTCTGACTGGGTCAGACTGGGACGGGAGGGTGTGTGTGTGTGTGTGTGTGTGTGTGTGTGTGTGTGTGTGTGTGTGTGTGTGTGTGTGTGTGTGTGTGTGTGTGTGGAACAGGCTCTGACTGGGTCAGACTGGGACGAGAGGGAGTGTGTGTGTTTGTGTGTGTGTCAGACGGGGAGGGGACACAGTGTGGTAACAGAACAGTGGAAACCCGGGGACAAGGACCAGAACTATCCTGCAGCCAGCCTGGTTATAAATAGACAGTGATGGAGCCTAAAACTAGGAAACATTGGCACCGCACACACACACACTCACACACGTGCACACGCACACACACTCTCTCACACTTCACACAGTCACCCTGGGAGTTTGAATACAAATGCAGAGCAACACGCCTCTTCAAATGCTCTTACTCCCACTGTGAGTGGGAAATGTGTTAAACTTTTACCTTATCACACACACACACACACACACACACACACACACACACACACACACACACACAAGGTCAGGTTGAAGATACTCAGAGTAAGTGGGCTATAGCTAGTTGTTCTGTCCCAATAAAGACTTACATCTCTTTTACTAGTTATTAAGAGTCATGGTGCTCAGGAACGGAGGGTCCTTATTCGTTCCCTAACCCTTGCGTGTTTGCCTTACAGAACTCCAATCCTTCATTCTATTTATATGGTTTGCAGATCTGTAAGGTTCTGTCGACTGCAGCCTCCATAAAAGCACACTGACTGTGACCGAGGTCCCCTTGATCACCCTCTGTTATTTTATATCACTTGAAATATAACAACACATGTATGGTTATATGTATAGGACCCTAATAAACAACCGTTCAGGAAAAAATGTAACGCATGTAGTCTGTCGATCTATGCTCCGCGCATGCTCAGGACAGCTTCTGTTCTGTCTGCCGGCAGGGGGAGCTTCGGTTCAGTCCACCCTCACGTGCTGCTGCTGACATGCTGTGTGAAATGACTGCATCTTGCGCGCGATAAACCAGCGATGTCTAGGCTACGCTCTGGATAAGAGCGTCTGCAAAATGACTAAAATGTAAATGTATTACAACCTATAGCCTACTGCAAGGGCTACTCTGCCCCGTGCGCATGTTTTGAGGTCTGCGGCTCTACGCGTCGACGACCACACACATTTGGGAATGTTTAAGTGTTTGGACAGACCTATAGACTGCATGGGATTTATGTGTTCTTTGGGAGTGGAGTGGGAGGGTGTGTTATAGACAGTAGGGCGGAGGAGGTGGTGATGATTATAGTCTAAACCAATGATTTATATATACACTAGGCTAGTTCTGTTCAATGCGGTAGGCTAGTAACAGCTTATACCTAACTCATTTAGAGCTATAAAAATGTATTTTCTTCGTTAGGTTTATAATGGTAGCCTAAAAAATAATGAAAACTTCAGAAAATTAAGATAATGCTTTAAATTGTTGATAGCCTATGTAACGAAGCCAATGCTAATGTGTAATGATTTGTTAGAGCATTTGGCCTATGCCGGCATCCGCTTAGTGAAACTTTCTCCACTGTGATTATAATATGACTTACAGGCGTAATAAACCATAGGCATAACCGAGGACAGAAGAGACGTCAAGTCACCGAATTGAATTGGGTGTAGTAGTAGCGGGACCATTGTAACGGGCTTGGTTTATTATAGGCGGTGTCGCCCCGTTAGTGTCAAAAAAACATCACCACATAAATGTGCATTGATATGATTGATATATCCAGTGAGGCATATTTCCATATTTAAATAGAACACTGAATGAATGTGAACAGTCAATTATAGCCTGTGTGACAGTGAATTTAAATTACCTCATACTGTGTCATAGCCATATAGCCTACACAGCCAGTCCTACGACTTAGGTTAAGGAATGTTCAATGATGATACACCGAAACGCCATCCTAAGGAAAAATGTCGAGGGAAAGGACGAGTGAGGCGAGAATAAAGCCGGGGTGGAATCACTGCAGTGCAGCAGAACTGTCAGTCATGAGACCGGGGATCGAAAGAGGCACAAAGCCGAGAGGAGCGAAGCGCCGCGCCGCAGCCACGTAACCAGGCATAGGCTACACAGTCAGTCAGTTCTCCAAACATTCCCTTACAAAGTCCCACCAAGCTCATGCGTCCTCGTATGAACGCGTCTTATCCATTCTGGCAAGTGTAATTTCAGTCATCACTGAAGAGAGGATCTGGCGCAGCTAACGCAGCAGGTACACCAGTGCAGGCCGGGTTGTTTGGGATGAGCTTCAAAGGGCCCCATTAGCCTACCTGTTCAGAAATACCCTTACGCAAGACCTCCCTCCCTGTCCCCCTCAAACACACATGTGTGGAATGTGTGGAATTTCGCCGTCACACTAGGAGCAATGTTGAGGTTTTAAAAATAATTAAACCGGGTGCCTCTCTCTTGTCTCTATCCGCCTATCAGAATCGAATGGAGCAGCGCCTGAGCCAATGTGCGGGCTGTGCGGACCAGCCCCTGAATCTGAATGCATCCGCTAGGGCGCATTATAAATACGCTTAGTGCTGTCCGGCAACCCTTGGTCGTGCAGAAACGCTCAGGGTTGCAGCAGAAACACCCTCCGTCTTTTTTATTTGCATATTTATAAACGCATCGTATCCCATTTCAATTCTTACCAAGGTTCAAGTTATTTTTGAGGCCAGTTGCATGCATTGTTCGTATCCAAAAATGGTTTGCGAGACAAAAATTGTTGCGGATGAACACGATGCCATACAAGGGACAAAAAAAGATTCAATTATCCTTTCCTCCTCGCAAATGTGGACTTCTTCCACACCGGCACCGAATCCTCTCGAGGAAAATGATGTGAGGAAAGATACGGTTTTTATCCGCGAGTTTGAGCGCACCGACCATGTGGAAGTGCGCCGCATCTTTTATGAGGGGATTATGGAGAGAATACCCAACACGGCATTCAGAGGCATATTACAGCAAAGTCAAACCCAATTCTTATATGCTCTTCTGACACGTAAGTGAGACGATTCTGCCTATACTAACGATTTACTGGAGTGAAATTCGTTTAAAGTTGCCATTATGGACTGAAAAAAGCTTTTCATTTTACCAATGTAGGCTATTTATTTGCAAAATATTATTGTAAAATACATTCTTGATGAATAACCCAACCATACTAACACATGAAAACCAACGATTGTAAAGTATGTTTTTTTAAGTTGTGAGTTGAAATGCAGTTGAAGGAATGCCATAATCTGTTGGAGCATCAATGTATGTGTCAATGGATAATTCGTTGTCCTCTTTTCCTCGATTCCGGCATGTAGCTCATGTGCCTTACAGCACCGCATCAAACCGCAACACAAAGGCATGGCTAAAACGCATGGTGCATGTAGTATGTAGTCGATTGCCGGTTGGGTTGGACGCATGAATGGATGATTGAATAGAACTTGAGGATTGGCCCACAGTGTGCGCGTGCGTGCACCCCACCAGTTCCCATCATACACACATTTTAACTGTACGTGCACACAACGCGCCGCACCACCACCACCAGCCGTGTGTGCATGCTGGCATTGTTTATAATTCGAGTGCAGATGTTAATAAAAAATAAAAATAAATCACCTATGTATGTACACCTCATTCCTTTATCTGTACCGTGGTAAGTACCATACAGATTAAACAGTAAAAACCAACATACTCACATCGCCTATATGTCGAAATTTTGTCTGAAAAATGGTGTGGGCTATCATATGGACATGATGCTATTATTTGGAACCATGACGCTACAAAGTAAGCGCACAATGTTGACAGTAAGCACGCCATATCGTGGTGCAATGGAGTAAAATAGGGTTGCATCATGTCAGACCAGACAACATAATAACATGCAACGCCGCTGCACAGCCTGTCTGTGTGGTGGGTTTCACTCTGGCGCCACCGTGCTGCCAAATCAGAGAAATAGGCTACTCCAAAAAGCACTGACTGTAGTAAATGGACCAGAGTCTGAGATGATATTGATAGGCTATTGGATGTGTAGGATATCTAGGCTATGTGTATACACTTACATTTGCATCCAGTCAAAGAAATACATACTCAACATAGGATGTAATGTGATGTTTTGTGATATTTTTCAATTATTTTCTCTATATTATATGTGTGATATTAGGGACTGATCTTATTTTGAAGCAGCAACATATACTTATTTTTGGAATGTCACTGTTTGGTTATGTGTGTGACTTCCGCCAAAATCCAACATTTGATTCTTTTTTCTGACAGGTATCGTTTATTTTTCTTCCTTATCTCCATAGTGATGTGCTTTGTTGTGACCAAATCCCTCGTGCTGACCTGCTGCGTGCCGTTTGTTCTCATGGGCGCGCGCTACTTCTACAGCCACAAAGTTATCCACAACTATCTGGCCTGCGCGCTGCACACTGACATGGCGGACATCGGGGAGTATTACATGAAACCTACAGGTAAGAGGGGGAGGGGGCGATTGGACACAACACACAAACTATATACTGAATATAATGTGAAAATGAAATAGGCCTAATCTGTTGTATATAATGTTAATCCACAGACCAATGGGCCCTGGCCAAAAAGTAGTGCACTATGTAGGGAATAGGGTGCAATTTGGGACGCTGATGTGTGTTCAAAGACAGAGGCAGTCTGCCTGCTTGTTAAGTATGCAGGGCGACTCGCTCCACTTAGTTACTGAGGGAGGGTTCAGGGCAAGCCACACTACTGGGTGTATTGATTGTGATGAGGAAACTGCTGATAGACTTTCTGCAGCAGTTGGTGCACTCTGTGTCTTCCAAGCCTCATTGGAGTGGATTTCCTCAACTACATCAGTCCCTAATTAGGAAAATCAATCAATCTCCCATGATCCAAAACACTTCGATTCTGATAAGAAGAAGTGAGCTGTGACACACTTCCTCCTTGTTCCGTTCCAAAACTTTAGGCTATAATCAAATCACTTTTTCTCAAATCAAAATGTTCTCTCTCACTCTCTCTTTCCCTCTCTCTCTCTCTCTCTCTCTCTCTCTCTCTCTCTCTCTCTCTCTCTCTCTCTCTCTCTCTCTCTCTCTCTCTCTCTCTCTCTCTCCTCTCTCACATGCAGGCACACACACACACACACACACACACACACACACACACACACACACACACACACACACACACACACACACACACACACACACACACACACACATACACACTTTTATCCACCTCTACCCTACATCTTGGGGTCAATTGTCAGTTATTTGTGAATCTCCTAAAAGGCAGGCGTTTGATTAGCCTTTAATTGATTTTCCCCTTCTCTCTGACATTGTGTCCGCTAGCCTCCATTATCCAGTGCATACACAATCACACACACACACAGTCTCAACTGGCTAGGGACAGATCAATACCCTTATCTCCTCTTCAGTGTGTGTATATGTGTGAATGTGTTAGGGCTGGGAATTGATATTATTGCGATACTTAGGTGCTGATACGATATGTATTGCGATTGTCATGATTCTCACGATTCTACATGTATTGCGATTAGATTCTGTGATTTTATTGCGTGTCGATGTTCCAAAAATATTGCTCACCATATGTCTGCTGCAGAGGGACAAGAGAGAGCCATGAGAAAACGAGTTTTGATCAGTCATGGAAATAAAAGTGTTGAAAATAAATTGGCTCCCTATTTAAAAAGAAGATGGAGAACAAACTATGAAGGAACAATACTGCAGCCAATATGACAAAAATAATATTGCGATATTGTCAAAACGATACGATATATCGTCAGAAATAATATCCCGATATGTAACTGGATCGATTTTCCCCCTCATCACTAGAATGTGGGTGCATGCATTTACTTGTCCCACTGTCACAAAAAGCCATCTGTTACCTCAGCCCTCTGCTCAGCTTGTAGGTGTGTGTGTCTGTGTGTGTGTGTGCGTGCGTGCATAGGACATACCAGGAACAATAGGGGCATGGGGGTGTTGGCTTAACTAGGGATTCTTAACATCAAAAGAGCAGGACATTAATTCTACCAGCATGAGTTTTTCTTGTGGTATTATCGACCAATCGAAAAAGGCTGTTTCATTAATCAACCAATCGATAAAGGGTGTTTCATTAATCAACCAATCGATAAATGCTGTTTTATTAATCAACCAATCGATAATGGCTGTTTCACTAATCGACCAATCGATAAAGGCTGTTTCACTAATCGACCAATCGATAAATGCTGTTTAATTAATCAACAAATCGATAAATGCTGTTTAATTAATCAACAAATCAATCCATCCACTTTCACTGCCCTGTACAAATACACCACTCTTCTGTAGTCTATACCATGTAGGGTCTGGCGGTATCCAGATTTTCATACCTTCATAACGTTCCTGTACCATACCAGGGTATATGGTATTAATGTCAGTGCACACAGGGGGCGCTTTTTCTTTCCAAACATAAACGTTTGTTGGGGTCCCAACCAATGTTCCTTCTAATGTTGGGGGGCACTGAGAAAATGTTAGGTATTTTGAGTGGAAACCTGAACATTGTGAGAATTTTGTGCAACTTCCAGCACGTTTACAGTCAACACTGAGGCTGAACCCTTGCAGTTTTAGACAGTAGCCAATAGACTATTGTGGCTATTTGAGCATAATGTAGGCCTACCAAAAAAAAACTATGGAGCAAATCCCATAACATTTTCACATGGAAATAGCTTTTGATTGTCTATGATATAGCCTACAGTAGCCTATATATGTATTCAATGCAGGCCTACATTGCTTGAGACTTTAAAAAAAAGTTTTTACATTATGAAGGATTTGACATTAATTAATACTTTTTTTCTTGGTCTGTAACACCATGGGCCAAATAGGTGACTGTAAATTGCATTGTATTGTGTTGTATGAAGCAAGAAACCACTTCACAATATAAAAATAATTACCATACAGAGAATTAGACAATGTAGGCTACCCCTCTGCCTATTTGCTTATTTGCATATTCAAGCCTGCCCCTTTAATTAAGACATAATATTTTTACCTGACTGGCTTTTCAAAGACAGCTTGAAATGTTGCCTACACGTTTTGTGATCTTGTAGGAAGCAGTAACTCCCCATTGCTGACCTATACTTATATATAACTGGGCTAGTAACTCGCTAACTAGCAAAGAATATCAACAAATGTTGCACATGCAAGGCTCTGATCTGAACTGATCTGAAAAGCATATTCACTCACCGGTGACTGAAAGACCGCTAGTGGGCTACCCAGGCCAACATAATTCTACTCCATTGCGCTCTGGCTCTGCCTACAGCAAAATCACAGACTCAAGCTTGCAAAGTTAGATTTGTTTCGGTTTGAAAAGGGGCAGATATAATGTTGATTAGATCACAGAAAAAACGTTGACCTATACAGTGCAAACTAATGGGGCAAACTCAGTGAAGTTCAATCTCTTGCATCTCTGCGTAGCCTGGCATGTCTTCTGCGCGGCAGTCCTGGAGGAGGTGCGTGGCCGCGCACACACGCAGCTTAGAGTGAACATTGGTCCCAACAAATGCTAATAAATTACTAGCGAATTCCCATAGCGGATGCTAGCTAAATGCTAACATGCGCAAGCGAACATAAACTAATTTCAATGTAACCAAGAAGCTTGATCTTGCCATCTAGCCACTTAGCTAGCAAGTTAGCAAACCAAATGCATAGCTGGAGCCCTGAGCTGGAGATAATTGATTTGTCACATCTTAGATAATTAACTTATAGGTAGTTATAAGCAGTGGCGTAGCACGTACCCCCGCAGCCCTTGTTGTTATACCATAACTTGCTACATTTGCACATACTGTATATATATTTTCTGTTGTATTTTTTGACTTTATGTTTTTTTTACCCCATATATAACTCTGTGTTGTTGTTTTTATCGCACTGCTTTGCTTTATCTTGGCCAGGTCGCAGTTGTAAATGAGAACTTGTTCTCAACTGGCTTACCTGGTTAAATAAAGGTAAAAAAATAAAAAATAAAAAATACAAGACATAGCGAGGGGCGTGATTCGGCACATGGCAAAACCAAGCTCCTAACTTCAACATTATGAAGCTTGGGCTCAATCCCAAATGGCACCCTATTCCCTATATAGTGCATTACTTTGACCAAGGCTCATTGTGCTCTGGTCAAAAGTAGTGCACTATGTAGGGAATAGGGTGCCATTTGGGACTCACTCAACCTTGCTCTCTACAGTGAAGGTATCTAGTCTGCTCCACACAGTACATAGGTAGATGGGCCAAGGTGACTCCACAGTTACAGCCACCTGATTCCTGGGCCCCAGGGCAGTGATAACAGTGGCCAGATGGGTTGTTGTCCTCATATCTCAGTCTGGGTCAGAGCCTGTCCCATACAGGGTCCTGCCTAGACAGAGCAGTCTACGGCCGCATCCCAAATGGCACACTATTCCCTATATACAGTGAGGGAAAAAAGTATTTGATCCCCTGCTGATTTTGTACATTTGCCCACTGACAAAGACATGATCAGTCTATAATTTTAGTGGTAGGTTTATTTGAACAGTGAGAGACAGAATAACAACAAAAAAATCCAGAAAAAACGCATGTCAAAAATGTTATAATTTGATTTGCATTTTAACGAGGGAAATAAGTATTTGACCCCTCTGCAAAACATGACTTAGTACTTGGTGGCAAAACCCTTGTTGGCAATCACAGAGGTCAGACATTTCTTGTAGTTGGCCACCAGGTTTGCACACATCTCAGGAGGCATTTTGTTTCACTCCTCTTTGCAGATCTTCTCCAAGTCATTAAGGTTTCGAGGCTGACGTTTGGCAACTCGAACCTTCAGCTCCCTCCACAGATTTTCTATGGGATTAATGTCTGGAGACTGGCTAGGCCACACCAGGACTTTAATGTGCTTCTTCTTGAGCCACTCCTTTGTTGCCTTGGCCATGTGTTTTGGGTCATTGTCATGCTGGAATACCCATCCACGACCCATTTTCAATGCCCTGGCTGAGGGAAGGAGGTTCTCACCCAAGATTTGACGGTACATGGCCCCGTCCATCGTCCCTTTGATGCGGTGAAGTTGTCCTGTCCCCTTAGCAGAAAAACACCCCCAAAGCATAATGTTTCCACCTCCATGTTTGACGGTGGTGATGGTGTTCTTGGGGCCATAGGCAGCATTCCTCCTCCTCCAAACACGGCGAGTTGAGTTGATGCCAAAGAGCTCGATTTTGGTCTCATCTGACCACAACACTTTCACCCAGTTCTCCTCTGAATCATTCAGATGTTCATTGGCAAACTTCAGACGGGCCTGTATATGTGCTTTCTTGAGCAGGGGGACCTTGCGGGCGCTGCAGGATTTCAGTCCTTAACGGCGTAGTGTGTTACCAATTGTTTTCTTGGTGACTATGGTCCCAGCTGCCTTGAGATCATTGACAAGATCCTCCTGTGTAGTTCTGGGCTGATTCCTCACCGTTCTCATGATCATTGCAACTCC